CCCATGCAAGACGAAGAAAGGCAATAAAATATTAGGGCAGAAGAAATACTACGCAGGGTAGAAAGTCGTGGGACAGAGTGCCAGAGGGGAATAAAGGTAAAGAGTGAGTGTAATTGAGTCGAGGGGACTTGTTTGGTAGGTCAGATGGAAATTTCAGAGGTTTCCTCTTCCTCTGTTGTACAAGTCAATGGGCGCCATCAGGCTTTTGTAGAAAAGCTCCCACGGCCCTTTCACAACACTTTTTCGAATTCCCTTATGTTCTTTTGGCCGTCAAGCCCATCCATGTGCCGTCCTCCCACACCCCAAAAGGAGGGGGCCCAGCGGCAGAGCGGAGATTTCATAAACATCGAGTATGCAAAGCCTCCCCCAAACTGCATTATCACAGATCCCACCAAGGATCTTGAACCATGTGTCGACCAACAAATTCTTCCAGGCAAGCAAACATTTCGTCACACACCGAGCGCCCCCAACATAAAAGCTCAGGATGGGGAAGAAATACATCCCGGCATGGACTCACCGCAAGATCAACTTGCAATCTATTCTCGTCGTCACACGAGGATCTTCTCATAACTTCCCCTGGCAAAAGTCTCTCGCATGGCCACTGGATCTGGCTTCATGGGAACACAAACTGCTGAATTACCCCTGACGGCGGCGTGACACCCACGAGGAGGGTGGAGTTGGGATCGGAAGCAATGACAAACATGAGGCTGATCCCTGTCCAATCTCCGTCACCAGCGATCAACGACTGTCTCCAGAACGGGGTAGGTGTCCAAGCCTGAAAGAGCGAAAAGACGGATACGCGCGGGGACGATGGCGGCCTCGTTGTCCTCGGTGCTCCGGGTCTTTGAAAGCGTCCGGCTGACAATTATCCCCCTCACCGTTGGGCGGCTGCAGAATCGCAGGCGGCATAATCAAGAAAAGAACGCCGCCGGTAACCATTCCGAGTGTTAACCAGCAAAGCGGATGCTGCCGCGACGTTACACAGGCCCAGTTCTTTGGAACAACCCTCCCAGCGACTCCAACTCGCCTCCTCGTACGCCTCTCTCTACTGAGACACGAGAAATTGCCGTCTGATGCGTCCTGCAGGCCAGACAAGAAGCAGGGCTGATAGGTCCGGAGTCCCAGATTGCATGAAAAGAGACAAGAGAAGACTATTGACGCTGGCGTAACAAGTCGGGAAGACCTTGCGAAAGGCTCTCTGTGCTTCACCGTCTCTGCGGCCGCCGATGCGACCAGAGACGGGTACACGCTGCATCGACGACAGTTCCTATGCAATTCGCTAGACAGGCGCACGCGCAAGATCATCGTCGCCATCAATCACTTTGCATCAGCATGTCGTGGAGCATCCGGAATCACCCTCATACAAGCTTATTGGTGGATGTATTTCCCCTTGTACGACATCAAAGTTGCAGGTTGACCTAGTGAAATGGCCACTTGGGCGGTTGCGTCTGCTAAGTTATTTACCCCTCGCACGGTACTTGAGAACTGTCCGCGAGATCTGAGCGATGATTTCCGATGTATCGTGATCCCCCGGGGGCCGCGGCCAATGTCTCTGATCCAGTCGGTGAGCGGGGATAGGGGAGAATTGGGTGTGAGGCGGCGATCGATCGTACAGAGATCTTTTCCCAGGAGCTGGGAGCGACGTCGATTCCCGAGAATCGCCTAGGGATATTAAGTGGCTGAAACCCTTGCTGTGATTGGGTCAGATTTTTGCAGTTCTTGCAGCCGCCAAGTGTTGGTAAGGAGATGCTGAGCGGAGTTTAGAATAGCTGAAGACTTCTCAAAGACGAGACGCTTTTCTTTTCTGTTGTCGCGAAGCAAATCTATGGTGGCTTAGATGAGTAATGACGCGGTTTCAAGGGTTGGTTTGATGAGAAGAGTTCCAGAATCAGGGCGCGCAATTCAGACCCTACGGAGGGTTTCTTCTATCTGCAGGCTGTCGGGGATCACGGCTCATCATGACCTGCGAAGGTGTTACACGAGAAAAGATGCCATGGCCTTGCTCATTTGAAATCTTGTATGCTTGTGTCCAGGCGCCCGGCAATGTCTCACATACCCCCTACACCATGGGTAAATAGACTTAGGGAGGCTGCAGATGGCGCTGGCTGTGATTACTGATATTAGCCGTCATCTGAACTCGCGCGTGACACGAGACATGACCAGCATGATCGTGGGAAACCCAAGTACCTGGCTTTGGAGTTGAGGTGACAGCCACGATATCGAGGGTAGTCTCACCGTCACACTTCATGACTATTTTGGGATCAACTCAATTTCAGAGTCGTTCAACATGAGAATTAAAGTATTGTGCCGGTGCCTGCTTTTGCGTTACGCCACACTTTGTCAGACCTAGGCCAGCTCACAAAGAAAACAGACCACCAACAAGTAAGTACATGTATATACATGGGGCGACGTATCTCACGCAAGAGAGTAAATATTTCTCGAACTGTTGGTTTTCCTTAAAGTCGAGGAGGCAACGTCTTGGTTATACAATCTTGTCTTTTCTGGGGTGTTCAGGTCAAAGATGCGCCGGATGTCTGGCTCTATGTTAGATGATTTGTTGAGGTTCAATCCAAAAGATTTGACCAGAGTCTACCGTTCTGCTATGGATGGAACCTTGAATATCCAAGCGCTCTTTTTCGGAGAGTATTCGATTGATGGAGACTGATGCATCTCACCCCTTGTGTTTCATCGCCTGGATCCCTCTCCAGAGTCTTGATCCAGTACGATCAATCGCTGCGAAGTCGGCCGCTGACCCATCAGTGAACTAATCCCACCGGCAGTTGTAGTACCATGGTGACCAATCATGACATACTCCTGAAAGTGTTCGTCTGAAGGGGCAGAGCACTCCCGGTCGCAGAGTGTTCTGGATTGGTGTACGTGCGTTGCTGCATCCCACCGGTAAACGAGGAAATAATCAGGGAATCAACTTGAGACTCGAAGCGTCATTGAGCAGTAGTCACGATGGAGCTCTGTATGTGGGTTCACCTTCGGCGTTCTTTTATGCACCGAAGCCGAAGACTCGGACTCAAAGTCTCAACAACACGTTGCAGATATAAGCTGCGAAAGACCTCATAGTCTTTGATGAAGTGATAGATTACGCTCTTTATCTTGCTCAACCCTCTCTAAACTCTTTAAGCCGTTCATATAAGCCCCGAAAAGCTTGCTTTCTTCTGCTTCACGTCTCGATTGACATGGCGCAACCAAAATTAAGCATCATCATTGTCGGCTCCGGCTTAGCAGGATTAGCGGCCGCCAGTACTCTTCGAGAGCACCACAATGTCACCGTCTACGAGCGTGGCAGCCAAGACGTCGCGACCGGTGGACAAGGCTTGTCCATCTATCCCAATGCCGAGAAAATACTCAAGACCGTGGGCTTCAGCGCTGATCGCGCTGGTGCCGTCGGTTGCCAGGGGTATCGCTCATTTGACAAGAGCGGCAAGATGTTTGATGATTTCCCAATCGACTTTCACGCTCGGTATGGAGGCGATATGTTGCTCATGAAGCGGTCTGATTTCAGAGCCGAACTTTTACGTCTCGCAACAGCCCCGGCCGGGGAGATAGAGGGTGTCCGTGGCGAGCCCGCGAAGATGTTTTTCAACACTCCCGTGGTTGATTTGGACCCGGAGACTGCGACTATCACCCTGAAAGACGGCTCCACTGTCCAGGGCAATGTGGTGGTTGGTGAGTTGTTCAATCTCCAAAGATTTCAAAATACTCAACTGTGCAATCATAGTTGCTGACGGCGTCCACTCGGCTTTACGCCATCGGATCACGGGGGACAAGTCCCACGCACCAAAGAAGACTGGGCTGACCCTTTTTCGTCTCGCTGCTTCGATCGAGGATATGAAGCGAGTTCTGGGTAACTCATCAGATTGGTTGCCTTCGCCAGAGGACGACAACCGCCTGAACTTCGTGTTGGCTGGGGACAATACCAACCGTGTCGTCGTTCATTATCCAATGCAACATCACAACTACCGGAACTTCTCTTGCCTTTTTCTCATGCCTGATAGTAGAGCAAATGTCGCGGAGTCATGGTATGCAGACGGAGAGAAGGAAGAGATGTTGGAGGTCTACAAGGACTTCCCCGAAGAGGTCCTTAAGATCATGAGGTACGTCGCCAAATATCGGCTGCTACTAGGCTTCTGCTAATGCGGTATTACCAGTGTGGCAACGGAGCTCAAAATCTGGGATCTCCAGGATATGGATCCGCTTCCAAATTGGAACCGAGGGCGGTCCATCCTCATTGGCGATGCTGCTCACGCCATGACCCCTCTTCAAGGCCAAGGTGCGAACTTGGCCGTGGAAGATGCAGAGGGTCTTCAACTTCTTCGCCCCGGGATGTCCCACGAGGCAATCGCATCAGTGCTGCAGACGATCGACAAAGTTCGGCGACCACGTGCGACACGCATTCTCCTTGATACTCGTAAACAAGCTCGGAACGCTACGATGGAGGAGAGGTTGTCAAAGCTGGACTACAATTGCAGCTACAAATCCATCCATGAGGTTCTCAAGGCCGACATTTCGGCGGGGAACTAATGCTTTGAGTGCTTCCCTGAGCTTTCGTTTTCGCACACAAACAGGAGCTACATTAGATTTAGAGGATTATCATGGACAGAATATACAAATACCCGGGAGATGTGTGATGCAAACGCAGAGATCTGCCTATCCTGGACTTCCTGGCACGATGCGAAGCATACTGGGGATTGCCTTAGAGCTTTGATAGGTAACTGCAGCGAATGATGTCAAGAGTCGAACGGCTGATGTAGGTCGATTTCGCCGAGGAGGGTTCACAGAATTATTTGGGCGAAATGCCAATTTGAGTTCTTATTTAGGAAATCCTTCCTCTCTAGGAACTTGTTCAACAAGATTTTCATCGTGTCTGAATATGTTCAAAGTAGTAGGCCTTGGCTGCTGATACCCATGGCGTCATTCGCAGCATGGCCTAAGTAGACGATTTCGAAGTGTATTGACGTCCGGGCGGCTTCAACAAAAGACAATCTTCATAATTTCCACAAGGCTTTGAACCGGCTGTCCTCCTTCGCAAGTAACACCCGAGGCGCACCATCCTCGACCACCTCCCCAGCATCCAGCATGATCACCCGATCACAGGACATAGCCATCTCCTTCCGATGTGTGACCATGATGACCGTATATGCCCCAAACTCGGAGTCCAGTATCCGAATAACTCTCTTCTCCGTCTCAGTATCCGCTCCCGATGTGATCTCGTCAAGGAGCAGAAGACCGCCGTCCACCCCGGTTTCTCGACGTCTCACTCTCCGGCGGAGTACTGCGCGAGCAACACTGAATAATTGCTTCTGGCCCGCACTAAGCTCGACTCCGCTGATCACGGCATTAAGTCCGCCGTGTTCTTCGATAGCGGTGTGGAGACCGACATCGCAAAGAACGGCAGCACACTCTTCGTTTGTTGCAACGGAGGCTGGGTCGAGATTCGCGCGGAAAGTTGTGCCTTCCGGGAGGAAAACAGGGTCTTGTGAAGCTGAAATGACGCGCTCGCGGAGGGTGATACGGTTGACAGTGCTGAGGGGAACGCCGTCAATCATGATGGCAGGCTGCGGATTTGCAGTAGTGCTCGCTTGCAAGGGGTCGATGAGGCGTAGTAGTAGTGTAAGGATAGAGGATTTACCGCTGTTCGAGATCAGCAAAAATGGCACGGCAAAGGGCTTTTGACGGCTTACCTTCCCGTCCTTCCGCATATTGCAACTTTCTGTCCGGGTTCAAAAATCATGTTCAAACCTTTCAGGACCTTATCACTGCTATTATAGCTTACGTCCACGTTACGTATATCCACGTGCCCGCTCATGGGCCATGCTTCATCAGTTATAATATCATCGCCTACGGAATCTTCCCTCTCAGTCTCCTCTCCGAATGCTTTAAGACGACCAATTGCGCCAAGAGACGTTTCAAGACCGGTGTACGCGACCACAATTGTTGTCAGCGTACCACCGAGTGTGATTAGAGTGACCAGACCTGCACCGACATTGCCCGTGTCAGATCTCAATTGCGTCGCGAGAGCTACTAGGAGGACAGCTACAACGGCCACTAGAATGTTCATTGTGAGCATCAGCCACTGTTGTGCCATTGCTAACAAATACGAAGGACGCTGAGAATCATCGAGCAGGGCGTTATTGCGGGCTAGTTGATGAGGGAACCAATCGAAAGCTCGGATGGTAGTCAGACCGTTTAGGGTGTCTAGGAAGTTGGTACTGGGGAATACAGGTTAGATTGCAGATCGTTTGAGTTGGATCCGAGTCTTGGAAGTCTTACTAAAGAGGTGTCTTTGCCTCGAGATCAAGGATACGAAGCCGCTTTGAGGTGGGAAGATAAATCCTCTGAACTACCCACAGCAACAACACGAAGAACGGATAACTGATTGCTAACCAGGCTGAAGAAACTGCGATGACTGCGGCCTGACCAACAGCAGTAGCGAGACAGAAGCAGAGATTATTGATCATGCGTGGCAGTTGCGTGTCCATAATGTTCATATCCTGACTGAAAAGGTTCAGAATCTTGCCAACATCCGTGGTGCTTAGAAATTGGAGACTGCTGTTCATGACTGTATCCACTGTGGCATGATGGAGGTCCGTTCCGGCAAGACGTACGGCAGTACGTAGCATGATAAGACCAGCTGGGAAGACGCAAATAACACCACCTGCTCCAATAAGTGCATAAAGTCCCATCCAGAATGCGAAGGTATGCTGAGGCGAGGAAGATGTGGAGTCTCCCGACCAGAACTTGAGCCAGATTGTTGGGAAGTTGGCACAGAAACCAACACCAATCACTAAAATAGCGAACATAATCAGCGGAAGAGGCTTCATGGTGGAAAGCCAGTGGCGGTAGACGGCCAAGTCGACGGTCGGAATGGTTGCTGAGGTAGGCTGGGCCCTTGGTACAACGACCGTCTTCAGAGGCTGCGATGCTTTTCTCGCATCCTTTGACGGGGAGGTTTCCATCTCATCGGCTGTCGTGTCTTTCTTGCATTGGCTTATGATAGCTTCTGAGATACTCGTGAGACCGGAGCGCCGAGCTCTCTCCTCATCCTCTGCAATGTCTATGAATGTGCCTTGATCAAGAATAGTACCCTCTTGTGTAAGCGCAATGATGTGATTTGCAACCGGCAATAACTGTGTCGAATGCGTAGAAACAATGACAGTCGTTCCCCGCTTCCTCAGAAGTCCATTGCTTCCGAAGATGGCCTGGCAAACTTGGTGCTGCGTCGATGAATCTAGTCCGCGAAACACGTCATCAAGAACCAGAATATCTGCTTCATGATAGAGTGCTCTTGCGAGACATATACGCTGCCGCTGGCCACCACTCAGCGAGACACCCTTCGTGCCCACGACGGTCCTATCTCCAGCTGGCATGGTCGCCAGGTCGTCCAACAGCATTGCTGCTTGTATGACGTCGGCGTAGCGAGCTGTGTTGAGTGGAGAGAACCCGATGATGTTCTCCATGATTGAGGAGTTGAAGAGAAACGGTGTTTGGTCGCAGTATGCTAGTTTCTTCGATCCCAAGGTGACGGTGCCCTTCTCGTGGGGCACCTCGCCAAGTAGAGCTCGACAGAGTGTGGATTTTCCTGAGGCTACAGGACCGACCACAAATGTGATGGATGACTGGGGAACGCAGACGCTGATGCCTTTGAGGACGGGCTTGTCCTCTGTCCAGCCGAAACTTCCATCGAAAATACTCATGAAAGCCTCTTTGCTCTTAACCTCAGTAGCCGGATGCCCAGTCTTCTCATCAGTGTCGGTTGAGTCAACGATGTGCCTCCCATCCACTCTCGCCTCACGAGCCAGAAACAGCTTGATTCTCTGAAGGCATGCGAAAGAAGCAGCTATGATGGGCAAGCTTTGCAGTACGACTAGTAACGGTGCCGTCAGCAGCGCCAGGAAGGAGAGCGCTGTAAATGCTCGCGTTTCGTCCAGCACCTTTGGGCCGAAAGCAAAAGCCAAAGCTGGCGCAATAGCTTGCGGAAGTTGGCTCGAACTTGCACTGATGGCGATGAGGATGCGCGAGCGCTCTCCCACGCGAATCTCATCTTCTCTCTCCCTCTGCACCAGGGCCGCTGCAGAACGAAGCATTCCAGAGACACGCAGATCCTTGATGTTAGAGAGAACGGCTGAGGTGGCCGCGATACGTTTCTGCACGCGGGCCATCCACGCGCTTTGGTAAGGCACAGCACGACTTGATATCGCAAACGAGATGAAGAAGCAGATGAGAACAATGACCAAGGGAGCAAGGAAGGCGAGGCCGAGTTGCCGTTGTAAGAGCCAAGAAGCGAGCCCGATCTGGATGGCATTGGCCCAGACCTCGTGCATAAGGCGGAGGCCAGTGTAGATTCTCTCGACATCGGCACCCATCAGTGTGACAGCAGCTGAGTCGCCATCGCCTACGTGCTGAATTTCGGCTGTTTTCCGGTAGATTGCAGATATCAAATACGCGCGCAGGAGGGACTGGAAACGTTCTTGGTAGTACCAGTACAGGGCGGTTGAGATGGCTATGCCCGAGTAGGTCAAGACTGCGACTGCGACTAGTCCGGAGGCGGTTGAGGAGTTGTCTTCGTTGGATGACAAGAAGAGCAGTAAGCGTTGGAGGAAGAAAGGCTGACAGAACGTGAATCCAAGCAGACACAGTCTTGGAAGGATGGGCAATAGAACTGACCAGCCCAGTGGCCTCGCGAGCCACTGAACGAGGTCTGAGATAGAGGTTCCGCTTGACTCCAGGCTCGTTCGAGTGTCTAGCTTTGCGACAGAGATGGAAGCGTCAAGTGGGAACAGGTCATCCATCACCAATGGCTTGTGGTACCCTTTCCACAACAGGGGATTAAGCCATGAATATAGGCCAAGACTCAAGATGCTGCTCGTCTCTTCCGGACTGTGCTCGTCCGAGTCCCACTTAAGCCACCGCCTCCGCTTCAGGCTTTCTAGTGCCAAGAACAAGACCTCAACGGCCATTGCAGCCGTGAACAGGACCTTGAAGGAAAGCGAAAGGTGTTCGTCATTTTGCCGGTCTGATGCAGACCAGAGGGAAGGACATCTGTAAATGTCGTAAATAAGAGCGACAAAGAGGAAAGAGCAAGCCAAGATGGAGGGCCGAGATCGTTTGAGATGCTCAAGAGGCGAAAGCGCTAGTAGCAGACAGGATGCGGTGAAATTGAGGGCTGTGGATGCCACGAGCTCCGCATTGGGACGTCCATTTTGCGGGCGAAGCACCACGACGAGAAGACCGAGTCTCAGCCCGGTGAATACGGCACCGGCAACGAGCTTGGCGATCCACATCATTCCGGCGCCGCGCACAACGGACGGGTTCCGGGATCGGACAAGGCGGAGTACGCGGAGGGCAGCAACCGCTATGAAGGCTGCCACAGTTGCGACCGAGAGCCAAAAGATCCATCGGTACTCGACGACGGGGAAGTCGGGCGCGTCGCAGTTGGCGCGCAGGCCGAACGCCACATCTTTGCTGCAATTATTGTCTTGGTCGTTCATGGTCAACATACAATGGGCCAAGACCAGAGTCCTCGCACTACAGCGCCTACTGCTGGAGGGATATGCCGCATCTTATGTCGCAATCAACCCCTTCGAAAGTTCCTGATTGAAAAGGAGGATCGCTGACCAATACCGTAAAGGGATAGCACACTGGGGGGGAGATTTTGGGATACACCGATTGCCGATGTACCCTCTAACAGTTTTATGTTTACTACGGTATGTTGAGGCTGCCTTATTGGTTGAGGCATTAGCCAGGGGAAGAGGCACAAGCAAGCACTCAAAAGCAAGACATGGGCAACATCGGCAGACGCCTGTGGAAATACAGCCGGGGGTGGTTTGGTACGTGCAATCTTAATGCTGCACCGCCTCAAAGAACTTTCGTTTAGAGCCGGATTACCGCTCATCTCTGGATAAGAGACTGTGACTCATAGCCAGATCGAGGAGACTAGAAGAGGAAGAGTGTGATTGAAGCGAACAGGAGAACGCATGGGCCAAAGCCGACTGACAGCAAAAGTCAATCATTTTCATTGGAACAAAAGTAGCCGGGTTTGTGGGGAAGGAATGAGCTAGGTTGTAGAGATTGAAGCTAGAAAAAACACCTTGCCCTCGTCGCCGACATGGTCGTGGTTGACTGAAAGAGACATAATCCGCATATTGTACGAAGCGTTCGCTACCTTCAGTGTCTGATTCGACATGTTCGTGATCTCGAGCGATGTCTTGGCCGAGTCTAAGCAATCGAGCAAGATTTGGGGCGAAGCGAACCTCTCGGGAGTCGAGATGGCGGCAGGTCCGTATATTAAGCTCGCGCAGACAAGAAGCAAAACAGAGCAATCGACCGAAGCGAGAGGCTTGACCCCGACTCGTGCCATATGAGCACGGCAACCAAACATGGCATTTTATATCCCCATGATCAATGATTGGCTTCTTCGAGGACTGTTCGACTTTACGATGCTCTCGGACGCCCACCTGGTGTGAATCGGAATGTGGGGAGCGTTTGGTCCCCTGTTCCTCCAATCAAAGCCGTCCCGTATTTCTCGTACCAAATACGAAATCTTCCGAGGTCCACGGGCGGGGGCAGAAGTCCGGTCAAGTCAAAGAGACCCTGTGTTCCCGTACTCTTCAAAGCGCCCCAAGATGCATCAGCGAAGCCAATTGCCAGTGACTGGCCCTCATCGGAAGATTCTAGACGACGTCACATGTCCGGTACAGGCGGGATGGAAACTTCGGTCCCACTGAACCAATTCTATTCGACGTCTGTAGCCTGATCGATACGTACGCTCGAGAACTCCGGCCGGCGTGGACGCGATCGCGAACGATGGACAAGGACGAGAAAGACGACCAAGGCCATGCTTCAGCTCCAGACTCTACGACATGTAGGGCGCAAAACCACAAGGCTGCGGCTGGCGCTGGCTGTTGCTGTGGTACATGTCGCAAGAATAAGAGGAGATCGCATAAGAAATCTCGAAATGGCTGCATGAATTGCAAGAGAAGAAAAGTCAAGGCAAGCATACCACCCGTCAAGAGCCCGCGACCTTACGCTTAACCCACATCCGGACTGACTCTATTTCCCCGGTGTTTAGTGCGACGAAATCAAGCCAGAATGTGGCAACTGCGTCCGGTTCTCGATGCATTGCGATTTTGCCCCTCCGTTGACGAACCCGCCCGCACACTCCCCGACCGCATCATCACCCCCGACGCCGACGCCGAAGAAACGGGGCCGCCCGCGCAAGAACTGGGACGATATCCAGAAACTCCCGACGCCGACAGCCTCCGAGCCTGAATCCGCCCGAACACCAATCACCCCGGCCGCCGTGCCCGCGACCGTCGAGCCCTCCATTCCCCAAGTCCTGAACCCGGACGATCTCGAACTCCTACACCACTACATGTGCCACACGGCCATCACATTGGGCGACGCGCGCGTCTGGAGAGAACACGTTCCGCGGCTGGGTTTTCAGCACCATTATGTCCTGCACATGGTCCTGGCCATCTCGGCGCAGCACCTCGCGAGGTTGCGCCCAAGCCACGCCGGCCACTACGAGGCGCTGGCGGAGCGCCATTCGACGAGCGCCCTGCCCGATGTGACCAACATCATCCCGAAGTTGAACAAGGACAACTGCCAGGCACTCTACCATACGACAGTCCTGGTCTGTCTGTCGACGTTTGCGAAGCGGCCGAGCCCGGGACATCTCCTGATTGTGGCGGAAGAAGGCGAGGTCCCCTGGTGGGCGTTACTTCGTGGCGTCAAGTTCGTCGTAAAGACGATGGGCATCCAGACGATAATAGCAGGGTGGAAAGATGATGGCGTGACGTTCGAACAGACATGGACGCATTGCCCGCTGATGCCCACCCCTGTGCACAAGATGGTGCACTGGGAGAAGCGTTTCGAGGAGCTCGCCGATCTCGTCGCCACCGCCCCGGAGCAGGACCGGCAGATGTACACGACGCTGCTGAGTTCCCTGGAAGAGTGCTTCAAGATGACGTTCGGCACGCTAGCCGAGCCTGTCGACCAGGTCCAGGGGAAGTTCGAGTGCATCATGCGCTGGCTGTACAGCATGGAGGACGACTTCGTTGTGCGCCTCCAGCAGAAGCACATCCTGCCCATCATATTGCTGGCCCATTTCAACGTTCTCGTGCAGACGTTGGAGCACTTTTGGTTCATGCAAGGTTGGTCGGAGCATCTTATGAGCGGTCTGTTTCAGGTCCTGGAACCTCAGTACAGCCACTGGCTCCAATGGCCCGCGGACCAGATCAAGCGCCCTGCTCCCTCAGATAGCGGTGTGTTGTCGGTACACAACATCATCGACTGAGTGGTGCGACGGTACAGCACGCTTTGTTTCCATTCTTCAGTCCAACCCCTGTGGATGGCAGAAGCTGCAGTAACAAGCGGCTTGATATCAAGCATGATACTGGAATCAACTCCATCATCGGCTGGGCAGCTATGGCACTGTTAGACGCACTATCCATGGATGCAATATCGGGATGCCGCGATCAAACCAATGGTCGCTGAGTTGTTTCAAATGGGCCATAGAGCTGTCTTGTTGCATGGCCAGATCTTCATGCACTGCAACTAGCGCGTCATGCATCGCAAGAGACGATGATATCGGCGCGCTGATAGAACAACATGAAAGGCGAAGCTTTCTCGAACCAGTCTTGGAAGGTAAGTTTGCATGCCAGGGCTACGTTGGTCAAGTTCATCCGACAACTAACTCTCGTCCAAAGCCGGGATAGGCCAAGCTGCCATGCTGGTTCCCGACGATGACTCGGAATGCAGAATTTGAAGCCCAATGAGAAGTCTCTAGCCAACGTGCCGGAACAGGCCGCATTCTAGATTTCGCACAGGTTGGGGGGCAGAGCGAATTACGGCGCAGACGAGGGTTAGGAGCTCACGTGCCGCTTGACGCATGCGGGTGGTCGCAGGCCTCCACACCACACATGCCGGAAGGAAGGGAAACGTTTATCCTATACCGACGACCTTAGAAGGACGACTGATGGGTTACATTGCGGCCTAGGATCTCAAGGTTGAGAAGGAGTCGGGACTAGTCATGGGTGTGGCCTGGAGGCGGGGGATGCCGGATCTTCCGATGTTTCTCATCTAAGAATCTGGAAATTCCATAGATCACCCAACGAACCCTCTCTCCCTGTTGGGCAGCAAGAATGGGGGTTATCTGACGCACATCGCCGACTCCGTAGTCTCTCTCTTCCCCTTCTCCAGAATGACTACTACTTTTTGCTGTAACTTTGCACTGCCCTCGATCCGTAGACCGCCATTCGTGATGAAGCCTCGGCCGTCCCAGTCCCTTGTCCCCAAACGGAAGAAGACCCTGAAAAGACGAGCCTAGACTCCACGCCGCTGTTGCATGTAGAGACCGACGATCTATTGCAGGACCTCCCCCCAACGGAACCTAAAATCACGCGTTTGGAAAACTCCCATCGTCGTTCTTGGGATTTCTACGAAACAGCGTGTTTCCGCGTGGGGGATGAACCAGACCCGATTTCCTGGCACCTGGTCCCTGGATTGTCCTTAGCGATATTAAGCTAATTCTCCGAGAGCACGTCCATGATGTTTCCCACTTAACGACCCTGCAGCCGTTCCAACAGGCGATGCGTCAATAAGTAATCGTGGCATCAGTTTCATTTTTTTCTCTCACCCCCGCGAACTACGATCCGGCCTCTTGGTAACGGCTTGGGGGGAGGCCATGCGAGGTCCCGAGTAGCCGGCGTCGAGGCCTCGCTTCTCAGCCAAGCATTGTGCAACTTGCCGGAGCGAATCAATTCTCGTCCTTGTAAGACCAATCATTGAGAGATGACTCTGGAAGGCCTTTTAGTATGTAGTTTGTCGACTTGGAATGTTGAAAATTGCCCATGAACTGCCCATAAGCGAACGTCTTTGTCCACTCCAGACTCGTGAACAGTAAGACACTGCGCCAAGCAATTGTCCAAATCCCCTTCCCACAGCCATGTCGTACAACCACACATTGAAGAAAATGCGACAAATCGTGTTCTGCCTCCCCGGGCATCTCAGGATCCCATTGACCCCATTTTTGGCCCTTTTGTACGTTCTCAATTGCGACTAACGCGACTTGTTGGGAGTGGCGGACGGCTCCGCTGGCCCCGATCGCAATTGCGATCGAGGGATTGCTTCTTAGTCGTAAGCCGCCCCGTTGAGCAATCCACCGCGATCTCTCTCTCTTTCCCATCCCAATTCACGTCTCTGAATGCCTTGAACCGGTTTCGACTCTCCTCTGCTCTCATTGACCGACTTTTTTCGTGGTTGTGTTGCGTGTGTGTGTCCTGTGTCGTGTTCAGGGTTGATGGCCGCTCTCCATGTCTATCTGACTTGAACCGAATGGTGCTCAACAACACGCCAAAGAGGTGAGTTAGCCCCAATCGGGTGTAAGGCTGGCCAGAACCCTTGGCCAGCAGAATACTCGTCCGATTAAATGGATTGGACATAGGGCTAACTTTTTGTTGGTTTGGATCAAAATCTAGATCTACGAGAT